AATTTAAAACTGCATGTGGCTCACAGTATTTCTTTGGGACTGTACAGTCTAAAACATAACCAGGATATAACACTATGCTATACTGTCTCTTATTTAAAAAAAAGAAAAAGCTGAATGAGAAATAGACATTTTCAGAGTAAAATTCAAAAAGTAAAGAGTTGATTCTGATAAAGATGCTTTTAGAAAAATAAGTTTAAAATTTTTTAACTTTGCTGTATGAAAAACTGATCAAGAAGTCAAACTGTCTTAAAATTCAAATCAAAAATATTTTCTTGATGAAAACTGATTATGGTTGGGACAATTTTCATTAAAATTTCTATATTCAGGAAGGAAGAGTTGATACATGCTCAAGGACAAAGTGACATGGCTGTAAGTTCTTAAACTCACTATCAGAATATCCAGTTAGTCCCTGAGCTAATGTGAGGTAGAATGCAAAGAGCTGTTTCAAATTCAAGTAGTAGTTTAAATGTATTCTCACATTTGAGCCTAGGGGAAAAAAACCTCAGAATTTAGGGGAAGGGGCTGGAAGGATGGTATTAACTACAAGAGGGTTGGAAAAGAAAAGAAAGTCAAACACCCACTTCAAAGGTCCCTACAGACTCCTCTTTTCTCCGGACACCCTTATTCTCCACCCATCAGAGATTCTGAATACTTCTCTACAAAAACTGACAACTAATTCAAACCACAATTTGAAATCAGAAGTGTATTTATATGGGCACGCAAAATATGGTTATTTAGAAATGGGTTTTAAGCCAAATACAATATTCCTGTGAAATCATCTCACATGCCAAAGTAATTCTTTGGAAGTAAAAAAAAAAAGGTCAGGGGACACTTTAAATTAACCATTTCATTGAGATTTAGTCTAGTTTGGAGAAAAAGAGTTACTTTGAATGTATGATACAGTAAAACCTGACATATTAGAGCCTGTCCTCTGAAATACCTAGAGATGGTGCCATGGTCTTCATCACTTGATTTAAAATAAAAATTGAACATAAAATGTAGTTGACTGCAACAAATCAACACGCTATAGTTTTACATTTCGTTTGTGATTAATGATGGTACACTGTAATGCTGTATTCAAAGAACATCTTAAAATTAGTCATCCCCTTACAAAGTTATTTGGTTACTTCATGACTAAGCTCCCATGGACAAGACCCAGATCAGGTTTATTGAACAGTCACCTGACTGGGAAAAAAGTTAACGGAGCACAGAACTTGAGTGTCAGAAGACGTGGATATGAATTATGGTCCTATGACTGGGGCCAGATTAAGAAGCAAGCATGATTATCTCAACATGATCATCTCAAAGAATTTTAAATGTGCTTTTCTAAATAGTAAGAATTTTAAACGTGCTTTTCTAAATAGTAAAGTCCTATGTAAAGCATTAGTACTCATTCATCTCATTTCTTAAAATAACTTAAGAAATTGTTAAGTTATTTTATGTAATCTGGCCCTCATCAGTACCAATCACACATATAACTTTGGTTAATGTTAATTTTTGTGATGTTTTCCCCTTCCATTTTGCATATTTGTCATTTTTAAGAACCAAGGCAAAGGAGTCAATCAAAGGAAGACAAAATGTTAGAAATCTGATTTATAAATGTAGGTAAATAAATTGGGTCTGGTGTCTTATTTGCATTGGCTACCTTCTAAATAAATTTAAACATGATACAATATTAAACCTAATAAAAGGAAATTAAGCCTTTTCATTTAATTAAATATAGCCAAAGCAAAAGCTAGAAATTAATGGTCTTTTTAATCACAGAATTTCAACTTATAAAAG